ACGCCCGGGGGCGTCAGGGCGGGGACGCGCCCACCGAGGACGACTACTGGGGGGGCTACGGGGGCGAGGACCGACGCGGGGAGCAGACGTGCCCCGGGAACGCGTGCCAGGCGCCTGCGGACTCGCGCGGCCCGGCGCTCTCGGCGGGGCTGCCCGCCCCTCTGCTCTGCCTCTTGCTCCTGGCGCCCCAGCACCTCTGACTTTGTGGCGACTCAAGAGGCCTCGGTTCGAGTCCTCCCACCACCTCTTCTATTCCCGCGGAGCCTCAGCTCTGCCAACCCCCCCTTGACCGGCTGCCTTCTTTTATGTTTGTCCCTCCTACCGGCCCCCCGTCCCCCTCCCCCCGCCCCTCCCCTCTCCCGGGACCAGGCTGCCTCTCCAGGCCTTTCTGGGGTGTGGTGGCTGAGACCCTAGTCACCCTAACTCTAGCCATTGACTCTTCCTCCTCATCCCGAGCTGGGGGTGGGGCACCCTAGGCAGCCGCTCTCCGCCCCCCCCCATCTCCAGGACCCACAGTGGACTCAAAGGGGCTTTTATCTGCAGAGCATCTCCCACCAGCAGAGCCTTTGGAAGCTCCCCTTCCCCCCCCCAGGGGAGCCCCCACCCTCCACCCACCCAGGACCCTTCCGGAAGGATGCTTCCAGACCAGGGCCGGGCCGACCATGGGCCTTGCTTATCCCGGTCCCCTCTGTCTCCGGACACTGGAGGAATATGTTTTTCTCCTAAGTCTACTTGGGACATTTTTTTAGGGTGCCTGGAGAGAGCTTTCCTCTCCACCATGGACCCCGTGTGGTGACGATCAAAAGAAGTTGTTTGGGGAAAAAAATTTATTAAAAAAATTCTATTATTTTATCTCCTGTTTAAAAATCCATCTATGTCGTTTTTTTGGACCCGGGACGTGAAAAGTGAGATCGGTGAGGGCTTAAAATGGAAAGGATTTCAGGAGTTGGAGGAAAAGAAAGAACAATGTCAGACCGTCGAAGAGCCCCCTGCTGGCGGGAACGGATTATAGGAGCCATGCCATGCTAAGAAGCCAGAGCCCAGGGACGATTGGGGTGACCCCTCTGTCTCCCAGAGGTGTTTGCTGATGGCACCTCATCTCATGTGTCCAGGAGGAGCAGCCTCAGCCTGGGGTGTCTGGGAGCTGCGGACCTGGGGGGCTGAGGGACGTGGAGGATGTGGGACTGGCGCCTGGCTGAAGGAGAGAACTGTGCCCTGGGAGGCAGTGAGGAGCAACGTAGACGCTGCGGGCTCATCCAGGCTTTGGGCGGATCTGGAGAAGTCATTTCTTCCTCTGCTTTACCCCAGAGCAGAGCCAAAAGCTGAGTTCCAGCTCTCATTTGTCCCTTTGCCGGAGGGCCCTGGAGCAGTGCACCGCCTGGCGCCCCAGCCCTGTAGACATCCAGTCTCCCTCCCTTACCTCCTGCCAGGTACAAGCTGCTACAGATGGGCCAGGTTAGAGATAGAGAGAACCCCAGGGGTGAGGATGAGCTGAAGAACAAGAAATTGGGGCGATCCAAAGCTTCATCTTGCCCATGTGCAATACTGAAGCTGGGCACAGGGAAGAACCAAGGACTGAGAGCCAGGCGCCTGTGGCTCACGCCTATAATCCTAGCTACTCAGGAAGCTGAGATCTGAACATCAGCCCAGAAAACCGGAAGTGATGCTGTGGCTCAAGTGGTAGAGCGCTAGCCTGGAGCTGAAGAGCTGAGGGACAGTGCCCAGGCCCAGAGTTGGAGCCCCACAACCAACAGTGACAACCAAAAAAGGACTGAGAGAGGAGGGGTAGGACTGACTGTCCTCAGAATCAACCGAGGTTTGGTGGTTTGAACTTAGGGTTAAGAATCCAGCTTGGGAGTGGAGGGTCGTGGGTGCCCGAGGATCCTGAGAGTATGTGATGGATGGGCAAGTCGCAGGGTGGATAGAAGGGGGGCTAAAGATCTGAGGGAGTCCATAGCCAACATGGAAGGCAGGCCGGCTTTGGATGTGGGTGTGGAGTGGGTGAGGGGCAAGTGATAGCTCTGAGTCTGGGGTCTCCAGGGGCTGGCCTCAGGCTGGCTTTAGGGAGGCTCTTGAATGGGCTGGGGGTGGGGGGTAGGGGAGCCAGGCAAAAAGCAGGGCTGGAGGAGGGGCTGCTAGGCCTGGGCAGGGGGAGGGAAATGCTGGTAAATCAGAGGCAGGCTGTCCAGGTCACGGAATTATCGTTGTGAAATATTCATGGGCCTTTGGTCCAGATGCTATTTCAGAACAGCCAGAGCAGGAGGAGTGTGTGAGCCTCAGGAAGAAGCCTAGAGCAGTTCTGCTCCCCACCAGCCCCCACCGCTGCCACCACCAGCCCAGACAGACCCACGAACGCCCCGTCACGTGTGTGCCCACACTCTCCAGCTCCCGCTCGCACACACACAAAGCAGAGCTACACGCAGCACGTGCAGACACGCCAGCCACCCAGCCACCCACCCACGGGCCCTGCCAACAGACAGATGCACCCCAATTACTGACATGCACACATCCCTTCTTCATGGGGGGCCAGTGTGGAGACCACCCCCTGAGATCTCACACACAGGCACCCCAGAGTCTCTCCAAACAACCCAGATTTGTAGCTCTGAGACACACCCCAAAACAGATGGAATCTATACCTTCAAGGCCATCATGCCCCACCCACCCACCAATGGGGAAATCAAGATAGGAGCGGGGAAGGGACTTGTCCAAGACTCCCCTGCCACCCGAAAGAAAAGCCACCACCCCCTTTTTGATGGTGTGGCCTCACTCCCCATTCTTTTCCTCTGCTAGGCACCCTGTCTGGTTGTAGTTACCTCCTCCTTTCCTCTGATTTCCTCTGTCTACTTGGTTACTCAGCCCCTCCTCCTGGCACTAGTCCATCCTCTCCTTCCTATCCACCCCCCCACCTCCCCGCTCCAACTACTCATTACCTCATGCCTAGAATATATATATATATACATATATATGTAATAGCAATAATCCCAGCACTAGTTTTCCTGCCCCCCCCACTTCCATCTCCCCTGCCCACCATGATCAGAGTCATCTGCCAAAATTCGCATTATGTCACCATGTCGCTCACTTGGGAACACATACAAGCTCCCAATTGCCTACACATTAAAGATAAAACATCTTACCGAAACATCAGAGCCCATTCAGAGTTCAGAACCTACTGCTTCTCCCTCCCCCCCCACCCTCTGTGTGGTGTGTGTGTGTGTGTGTGTGCCACAAACCAAGACTTCCCCTCCCACAAAAAAATGTGTGTCTCCTACTGACCACCAATGATTGTGTACTTGAAACTTACAAACCTATTTTGAATTCTCCACAAAATTCCTTAATTTCACCCTCCACCCCACACACACACATACACGGTAGGGAAACTCTCTCTCCTTCCCTCAGATTCAAGAACCCTTCTTCCAAAGGCAAGACTGCATCCTTAGACCAGACAGGGTCTTTACTGTCCCTTCAAAGCAAGTGCCAGCTGAGCTCTGGCTCCCTCCACGCAGTTGGCTGCCCCCTATGGGCCACTTTGAGAAGCACAGCCAGACTAAAGCCCTGTAACTAGAGTGAGCAGCTAAAACCCCTGGGGTGGGGAATAGAAACGCGCCAGATGACCAGCTTTATAAGCCCTTAAGCCTCTAAGGTTCTTACACCCCTGCTGGGGCCTGGGGTAGGGGTGAGGGGGCTCTCAGCTTTGCTCTGTGAGCCGATGGCTCCCCCCTTGAGCCTAATCTGTTGAGAGGACTCCGGCCCTATGAAATACACTGGGGAGGATTCCAGCACACTACAGAAGGGAAATTGGCCCACCAGCTTCTGAACGGCCTCAAAGCCAGGCACAGGCCAGGTGGCAGGCCCGAGGTCCAGCCCGGGTCAGGTTTCTACATGAATGTTTAATGCATATAGCCAGACCTATCAGATGTTCCGAAACCTGAGCATCCCTCTCCTTTCATTTCTGTACAAGATGCCCTTTTCCAAACCCCTCCCCCATGTCCAAGGAGGGGGGGGAGAGGAGGGGCAGCCCTGGGGACTGCTCTCCAGTGGCCTCTGGAAAAATGGCTCAAGGGAAAGTATGGGTGAAAGATCTAATTATTCTCCCACTTACTACCTGTGTGACCTTGGACAAGTGACTTGCCTTCTCTGAACATCTGGGTTTGGTTTTTGCTTATTTTGAAAGCTGTAGGCAATTTGGTGCCTGCCAAAAGTACAATAGCCCATAGGAAAAGGACCTGCATGATTGTCATCATTATCTTTCCTAAAGTCCCGCCTCCCTCCTGTTTTCTTTTTTGATTTGTTTCTGCCATCCCTTCTCAGACCCAAAAGGCCCACCTTGAGATTCCCTCTTAGGGGAGAAGAGAGGTAGGAAAGTGAGTCAGGCTGGTGGAAAAAGAGAGGGAAAATTACGGGGTTCTGGTGGCTCACGCCACCTCGCTGCTCAGGAGACTGAGATCTGAAGATCATAGTTTGAAGCCCTGGAAGGGAAGACCTGCAGATAATTATCTCCGGTTAACCAGCCACAAGTTGAAAGTAGAGATGTGGTAGAGTACCACCTTGAGAGAAGAAGCCAAGCAAGATTGCAAGACCCTGAGTTCAAGCTCAAGATTGAGAGGTTGGGGGGATGGGGGGGGGGAAGAGAGGAGGGGGGCTGAGTGAGGACTGATGGGAGAAAATGGGAAGAAAGAGGAAGTGGCTCAGAGGGATTCAGCCTGGTTACCTGTGTGCGCATGCATGTTTTGAACTGGGCTTGAACTCAGGGTCTGGGCACTGTCCCTTGGCTTTTTCACTCAAGGCTGGTGCTCTACCACTTGAGCCACAGCTCCACTTCTGGCCTTTTTTGTGTGTGTGATTTATCAGAGATGAGAGTCTTGTGGACTTTCCTACGTGGGCTGGTCTTGAGCCTTGATCCTTGATCCTCAGATATTAGAATCCTCCCCAGTAGCCAGGATTATAGGCATGTGCCTCCCAAGATGGGCTTGGCTCCTTCTTTATCTTCTCCTTCCTTCCTCGCACCTTCCTTGTGCCTGGCACCATCCCACTGGAAATAGAGAGGCTATATTGTGCAGAGGGGAGCAGGAGGAGCCTTGGGAGGAAGGGGGTTGTGAGAAGTGTCCTCCATTCTTCCAGCCCACCCACCCCTCTCCCAGTTTCTAAATATAAGGGCCTGTGCCATGAATTTAAGTGAGAAGCGGATTCCTGCATCAGGCCC